CCCAAGTACCTGTACTGATGTTCTAGAATAGAATAGAGCTGGAAGGGACCTTGGAGGTCTTCTCAAGCAGGAGAACCTATACTATCTCAGACAAGTGACTGTCTAGCCTCTTCTTAAAAATCTCCAGTGATGGAGCACCCACGATTTCTGGAGGCAAGTTGTTCCACTGGTTAATTGTCCTCACTGTCAGGAAGTTTCTCCTTAGTTCCAGGTTGCTTCTCTCTTTGGTCAGTTTCCGACCATTGTTTCTTGTCTTGCCCTCTGCTGCTTTGGAGAATAATTTGACCCCCTCTTCTTTGTGGCAGCCCTTCAAATACTGAAATACTTTATCAAAAGTCTTCAGATGTCAACTTAGAGGATTGAAATTCTAATTATGCTAGATTTTCCAGCTGGATGGGTCCAGATTTGTTGGTGGGCTGAGTGTACATTATATGCTATCTTGCAATATGAGACAATAAGGAGATACTTTTATACAAAATTTGGCTAGTATATTTTCAAATGGGTCAGGATTCAGCAAAACTTGTATGCATCTGATTTCAAGTAGGAACTCTTCTAAGATCATAGGACTGAAGGGAAAAATGTCCCCTTTCTCCAATTACTTGAATACTTATTAAAAGAAAAAGTGCAGATTTTTCTTAAGGGCTCAGTTTGTAGCAGATGCATTGGAAGGGCTGGAGGGACAGTAATAAACTGTAAATCATTTTCTGATCTTCTCCAGAATGCCATGGCCTGCTGCATTTTACCAGAAAGAATAGGAAAGAAACACTTTTAAGAAGAAAAAAGAATAGAGAGAAGAATAGTTGGAAGGGACCTTGGAGATCTTCTAGTCCAACCCCCTGCTCAAGCAGGAGACTCTATACCATTTCAGACAAGTGGCTGTCCAGTTTCTTCTTAAAAACCACCAGTGATGAAGCACCTACAATTTCTGATGGCAAGCTGTTCTCACTGTTAGGAAGCTTTTCCTTAATTCCGGTTGCTTCTCTTCCTTGATTAGTTTCCATCCATTGTTTCTTGTCTTGCCCTCTGGTGCTTTGGAAAATAAGTTGACCCTCTCTTTGTGGCAGCCCTCAAATACTGGAATGCTGTTATCATGTCACCCCTAGTCCTTATTTTCTCTAGCTTAGCCAAACCCAAATCCTGCAACCATTCTTCATATGTTTTAATCTCCAGGTATTTACTCATCTTAGTTGCTCTTCTTTGCACTTTTTCCAAATTCTCAACATCTTTTTTGTAGTGTGGTGACCAAACTGGCTGCAGTATCCCAGGTGTAGTCTTATTAAGGTTTTATAAGATGGTACTAATACTTCATGTGATTTTGATTCTATACCTTTGTTTGTACAATCAAGGATTGTATTAACTTTTTTGGCTACTGTTGCACTCTGCTGGCTCATGTTTAAGTGATCATCCACTAGGACTCAAAGGTCCCTCTCACAGTTACTGTTTTTTGAGCCAGGTTTTGCCTATTCTGTATTTATGCCTTTGGTTTTTCCTGCCTAAATGTAAAATCTTGCTTTTCTCCTCATTAAATTTCATTTTGTTGGATAGGGCCCATTGTTCAAGTTTGTCAAGATCTTTTTGGATCCTAAGCTTGTTGCAAACAGGAGAAACATAATAAGGCACGGTTGCTTATTATGATAAAAATTTAGGAATACTCATCTCTGGCAGCAAATACATCTTTGACAAAAGAGGTGGAAGTTTGGGCTTTTTTCCAGGGGTGATGGATAACACCCAGTTCATATGCCAATTTCATTCTAAGCATTCTTAGGGGACTGTTTGGTTTTAAAACTAATGTAATACTTATTGAGAGCTGGCTAGATTGTTTTTTGGCCAGATACTCTCTTTTCTCATTCCACCTCTCTGTTTTAATAAAAAATTGCAAATTCTGCATTTATCTTTAAATTCCATCAACTGAGGCAGTTCCCACTTTAGAAATCACTTGGCTATTATTCTAAAATGTAGCAATTATCAAAATGGTGAGTCATTTGCATTGCCAGAATTTAAAATAATGTCTGGTTTGGTATTTAGATTTAGCAGAATAAGAATATCATTTAGAGAGTTACACACTTTTAAACTTTACTAGTTTCAGTGGAAACCATATTAATAGATGAAAGATACAGTAGATAGATAGATAGATAGATAGATAGATAGATAGATAGATAGATAGATAGATAGATAGATAGATAGATAGATAGATAGCAACAGCACCATAGCACTTTACAGCCCTCTCTGGGTGATTTACAATAGATAGAGATAAAGATAGCTAGCTAGTTAGCTAGCAGTCCATTGTATGTTTATCACAAGATATGTTTTGCTTTGTTCAATGAAATTTATAGCCTTGTAACTATAGCCATATAAAAAATTGGAACCAAAGTATAAACAAAGTAGGCATAACATTAAATCCATGTTTGCAGTAACCTTAAGTTTAGAAAAGTGTAGATTAAGTTTAGTTTTCTCATCAATTGTAGGATTGTGATAAATGGATTGTATTTTTAAAAAGATGTTTCTCTTTCCAGTTCTATGAAAATTGATCTCTGAGCCATTACCCCTGAAAGAAAAACTTTAATGGCAACTTCACTTCCATAACTGCTTCTGAAAAGCAATTTTTGCTAACAGCATATCATAGAGAGAGTTAAATCCTCTCCCCCCCAACATGAAGGAGTTATGATCTGTTCCACATATAGCTATTTGAAAGCCAACTTCGAAGCACAGCATATGCATTTCTGCATTTAATGAAAGAATTGATTCTAGCCCCTGAAGCCTAGCTGATATGTATTTGTATCTTATATGAACGTTAGAGCTTCAAGTAATAAAGAGAAAAACGTAATTCAAAAATCTCTTTAAACAGAGATTTTGGAATTGCACTGAAAGCATTTAAAATACTTCAGAACAATAGGCAAACCCATTAGAAATATGATATTGTAAAAGATACTTGGTTGTTGCCATGGAGCTTAATAATGAACCTGATCTTATGTGGAAAAGAAGATGAGGGAGAGTTTCACACGTTCAGCCCAAACAAAATTTTTCCTGATTAGGAAGACAGCCTAAGAAGGAAATGCTCCTCATTGGCTGACTTGTGCCTGTCCTTACGACTCAAAAAGAAACAAAAAGTGAATATATAGTCCTTAGGTATTCTCTTTGCAGCTAGGAAGATGCAATATATTCAGGATTTATCCATTGTAGATTGTTCAGATGAGATTGCTCAGTTTTATGAAAGAGTAAAAAGAGATCATGTTTTGCTATTGTAACATAGAACTTAACCATCTGAGCAGTGCAATATTGTCTCTCCTGTATTACATCTTTTATTTTATTGACTGTCACCATTTATAAGAGGTGTGGTTTGTTAGGGGTTAAAGATGCTGAACTTGTCAACCGGAAAGCTGACAGCCTGGGTTCAAGAACCGAGTGCTGCATGATGGGGCAAGCTCCCATTCTTGCTCCAGCTCCTGTCTACCTAGCAGTTTGAAAGTCTGCAAATGCAAGTAGGTAAATAGGTACCATTTCAGTGGGAAGGTAAGAGAGTCCATGTGCCTCGGCGTATAGTCATACTAGCCACATGACCACAGAAATGTCTTTGGACAATGCTGGCTCCCTCGGCTAAGAAATGAAGATGAGCACCGCCCCACAGAGTTTGAAACAAGCAGTCAAGGGAAATCTTTACCTTTACTTTACCATCGTCTATAGGTAATTTGTGTAATTTCTTGTCTTTCTCCCATCACGTCTTTGGCATTATGTTTCTAGCACAGGACTTTTAGTAAGGAAAAATATCGTATCAACAAGAGCTGTGTGACAGTGAAACTCTTTAGCAGGACAGGTCATGGGCTACCCTTCCCTATATGTATTCAAGGACTGGACAACTGGACAAGTAGAAGAACTCAACTCAGTCTGCATGGCCATGTCTAGTTCTGTGATTCCATGACTGCTTGCCATGCATCAGATGAAATGGACTGTGAATTTCACAATGTTATGTAGTAATAAAAGCCAGTTTTCAAGGTGTGAGGATATTCTATGGCTTTTGCTGCCAGTACAATAACTATCTCTTTGAAAATCCCATATTTTTGTGAGTTTCAGGATTCAGTGACATGGAGCAGGGGGAGTTTAAAAAATATTTATAATTAGTTGTTTAAGACAATTCATACTACTGTTCATCATGAAGGGCAAGAGAAATAAATGCCTTTTTGTAATTTCTACCGGTACTTGAGTTTGAAGATAACAACTTCCCATAATATTTTTCTTTAAATGCATTTGTTGTTTAATCTGTTATGTAGTACAAACATCTTGTATCGTGTTTTAAACTATTCATCGAACCCCTACTTCTTAATTCTGTTAATGTACAAATGGTTCTTGGAAGGATTGGGACTAATGTGGAAGTAAATCTTCTAAGGAATGAAATGCAAATTTTAGAAAACATCAGATCATGAAAAAAATTGATGAACCGACATACAAAGCCTACATTAGACAGTTCTACATCAATTTACTATATGATTACTATTCTGGAAATGTCAAATTTGAATGAAACGTCTGTAAATTAGTTGGTTCCAGCATCAGAGAAAAACAATGTAGCGAAGTTGAGCAGAAATTTTAAATGACATTTCTTTCTTTCCTTCTTTCTGTCTCTCTCCCTCCCCCCCCCACTGTCTTTTCCTCTCTCTGTATGTTTTAATTAGCAACGTAATGTACTGCAGTTGAAAGACTTATTATTTGATGCTTGGGCAGAGAAGTATCTTCATTTCGTTTCGTCCAAATACAACATGCTGCTTTTGTGACTGCTGACATTAATTATTGAGAAAGAGTTCTGAAATAGCGCATGTGTTCTGCCTGTAACATAAGATAGAGATGCAAGAAGGATTTGTGGGCAGGCAGTGATGTACCTGTAGCATTTCGGCTTCTGTATGCCTGAACTGCCATGAGATATATATATATACACAAAAACAATCTCGTTTTGTAGATCAAATCATGGAAAGATGAGTCGTCAAGCTTACTTTTATCGTGTCCCTCCACAGGAACTGCACCGAAGGACACAACTTCAGCCTGAGCCAGCAAAGACAAAAGCTCTTCAAACAGTCATAGAGATGAAGGTATGGATGTTTGACCATGTTTATTCCATGTAAGGCAATGGCCACAGCGAGTGCTTGTGGGATGGATCTTGGAATTGTCCCTTGCTTTTATGGTACAGAATACGTGGAATTGTGCAGTATGTGTGTATGTCATGTTGCAATTGCACCATTTGTCTCCCAGATAGTATCAATCAAATTTGTCTGATTCTAAAATGTTTCCTATTAAATACACGTGACTAATGTCTGAAATACACGGCTGGGAGAAATAGGGTTTTTTTTAAAAAAGAGATCTTTTAATGTTTTACAGTCTTTCCCCAATAAATGCAGTTTTCCCACTCTGTTTGCTTGATAGATGTAGCTGTTTTTCTAAACAACTTGCTTTTGACACATTGTTAGAAAATATTTTGCAGAGTTTTTTTTAAGGAAGGTAGCAGTGTTCTTTATATTAACCATTTCTTTTGTCATTTTAAATGGTATCAAAGCAAGTAAATTATTCTCCATTCTATATTATGTTCACCTTTGTTGTCCTGAATATAGTATATGTTGTTTCATTACATCCATAAATTATGAAACAAGTTACCCCAAGTTTAGGTAAATGGATATTGAATAAGATTGCAACTTTCTGATCTGATCGCATGACAGTAAGTTATATGTTGATTCCAGTAATGATATCCCTTCCTACTTCTGGCAATCATCAGAAAAGGGTCTGTGGTTGAATAGGTGCTATTGATATACTGTATGTGTCATGAAAATAATGGCCTGCAATACAATTTGCAGAACAGCAGTATATTGTTTCTTTTTAAAAATTAATTTTCATTGAAGAATTTTATGCAACAGAATTTTCTACAATAAAAGTGACACAAGTTTAAGAAAAAGAGAAAAGAATAAAGAAAAATGATGACCCGAGAAAAGGAAAAGAGATAAAAAGAAAGAGAAAATATAAAGAAGAAGCTTCCAACTCTCTTTAAAGCAGTTAAAAATAAATTTATCTTCTGTCCTCCTCCTTTAAGATTATATCCTGATTCCATTCTTTCCATATTTTCTGCTTTCTAGTCATAACACCCATAAATTGCCAGTTCATTTTTTCCGTTTGGGTTTCCATAAAGTCATTAATAACTGTACTTGTTTCCTTTTGCCTAGTCAAACAAGTCAATTTTGCCATTCCTGAAAATTCTGTCAAAATTCCATTTAGTGTGTCCAAATCTTTCCAACTTTGTGAATATACGTAATAATCTTGCTCCATTACGATTTATAAAAAATAATCTTCCTAGTGTCTTTTTGAATCGACTATCTGTAAGTCCCAACAGCATTATTTTTGTTACAGTGGTACCTTAGTACTCAACTGCTTTGAAACTCATCGAATTTGGTACTCAACACATTTTGATGCGAACATTTTGTCCCAGTACTTATCGTTTCCTTGGCATTCAATGCACAAGCTAGAACTTGTTGGTGTTGGCTGCCTTGTGACTCACTATACTCCTAATGGGAAAAGTTTGTTTGTTTGTTTTTGGTTCTCATCACGCCTCCCGGAACCAATTAATGATGAGTAACAAGGTACCACTATACCTGAAAATCTGGTTCTGTTCTGCAACCCTATAATAAAAGTAATTTTAGCATTCATAACTTTGGTATACGAGTTTGATCTCTCTCAAAGGACTGACATCAGACGAGCTTTTCCTTGTTGCCACCACAAGCTAATTAGGAATGGAGTGGAATTGCCACTGTTTCTTCTCTCTAGTCTCTGCTTTATTTGCTATCTTTTCCCTTCTTTATTAGCAATCAGACAAACAAATTCCTTCTCCAAAACACTAATAGCTACTGCTTCAGTTATTACCTTTTGTCACCACCCACATGCACTTCTCAGTTGCTTTGTCCCCTTTTCTCTTCATCTCTGGTTGGAGAGATTAACTATCCTCCTTGAGGTTTGTCATATCTCAGAAAACTTAGTTTCCTTGGCATATGTATTTTGATTGGCTCTCTGACTTATTTTTACTCATTTCCCGTTCTTCTTATTTCCTGCTTACTTATAATTCCATTCATATTTACAGCTTTTATTTGTATTTTCCAGACTTTAGAATGACAGTTTACAGGCTTGCTTTTCCCCCCATCCATTTCCTCTTCTTCCTGCAAGATTATCTCTAGTACTTCTTTCTCTTCCACCCTACCTACCCAGCCATTTCTCCAGTTTTTTCATACTTGCCTGGACTGAATTTCTTCCCTGATGTTTATCTCATTGAGTCCACCTAGTTATCTCAATAGGAAAATGGGAAAATACAAAAACACAGATAATCTTTATGAGAATCAGATTTCCCTTCTTTGATCCTGGGTAGTCCTGATCCTCAGGGGATTTAAAACCCCATTGTATAGCTCCATGTTAACAATAAGAATAGAATGCTTAAATCAAAGCAAAAGATTACTCACTAAGATCCTCACTGAAATGATATATAAACTCACAAATATAAGGTAAGATTACATACAGTGTGTAAAAAAGGACATCTGATCTAGTTTCAGGAAACTTTTCCCTGTACTTCCAGAAAGCTAATTTTCAAGAACATAAATAGTCTTTGGAAAGGCTATTTCATCTCCCGTCTTTCTTCTACATATAATATCTACCTATCTGTCTACTTACCTATCAACCAACTAAATTTAACATGCGTTGGACTCATTCTGATTTCTAGTCATACTTCAAATGTTAGTAAATTAAAAGCTTAATGTCTATACAAAATACATGAAAAGATTTTGCTCATACGATCTTATGGATTTAGAAGTCACAGTCCATGCTTGATATATTTTCAAACAATTTCCATTATTACAAACATATATCGTTTGTGCAGGCAGAAAAAAACCCAAATCTATAATTCATTGATAATTACTTTCAACACATACACCTTGTGAATTTCTGATGGATTTATAATTTACATTATTATAAACTTCTTGTTAGTATAATATGGGAACAAGTGGTTGAAGGGTTGAAGGGTTTAACAAGTGGTTAAAAGGATAGTTGAAATCACAATGTTTGAAATATTAAACACTTCCTTGGATGTTGAAACCGATGTTTTTTTTATCTTGAAGTTAATGGGACTTCACATATATACATAAATATGACTGTATAAAATGAATACTTGTATGTTGCATGTACATTTTTCTCTGAGAACATATATTTATACACATGCATGTATACATGCTTTATTGTGATCCTCTGGGACACAGATTAACAAGCATAAGTACTAAGAAGTACTTTCCTGCTGCTACTTTATTCCAAAATGGGGAAGCTAAATTTCTACAACATAGATAATAATTCAGTTCAACCATGTTCAACAGTTAGTTCAAGCACGAGAAAGGGCACCAAATGTAAATTAAGAGACAGATGCACATGCAACTGTTAGGAACAAAGAGTTCAAAAGCAAATGAGTAGAGACTCTGGATGAAATAGGAAATAAAATGGAAGGGGAGATTCCTCCATAAATACAGGTAGTCCTCGATTTACGACCACAATTGAGCCCAAAATTTCTGTTGTTAAGTGAAACATTTGTTAAGTACATTTTGCCCCATTTTACAACATTTCTTGTTACAGTTGTTAAGTGATTCACTGCAGCTGTTAAGTTAGTAACCCGGTTCTTAAGTGAATCTGGCTTTCCCATTGGCTTTGTTTGTCAGAAGGCTGCAAAATGTGATCACATGACCCCGAGGACACTGCAACTGTCATAAATATGAACTAGTTGGCAAATTTCTGAATCTTGATCACATGACCACAGGGATGCTGCAAAGGTTGTAACTGAAAAATGGCCTTGTCACTTTTTTCAGTGCCGTTGTTAACTTTGAAGGGTCACTAAACTGTTGTAAGACTACCTGTACCTTTGCTCAGCCTCCCTTTATCCCCCCCCATTTTTTCTCTTCTGTAAATGCTCATAAGACATACAGTGCAATACTATCAGGTACATCTATATAAAAAGATTGGGGTAGCTCTACCTTTTCAATGTTGATCTTGGATATCAACAGACATTCTGGCTGAAGAACCATCACTTCTAAAGCCATGATCACATGCAAACTACAGCCAAGTCTTAACAGGATATGTTGCATTGTTACCAAACACTTCATTTTCATTTTGGTGCCTTTTTGAGGTCCAAGTGGAGAGGAAATGAGGTAAGATAAGAGTCAGGTAAACAAGGTAGCCTCATTTTAAAAATTTATTATACACCTTTCTAATGGAGGTTTATAAAAGTTTTTAAAAATAGTAATATAAAAACTGGGTTTCATATCTCAGGACAGGAAGTAAGCATATCCAAAATTCTTAAGCGAATGAAATGTTTTGTGGTTTACCCTTGCTTCTTGCAGAGACAACCATCTTTATATATTGATCCTGCTGTGGTATTTCAGGTATGTTACAGCACTGCTGCTGAAATCTGAGTGTGTAGTGTGCACTGCATAGCTTTTCCTTTGTTTTAGCCTCTTCTATCTCTGCTGTAGTTTTACATTAATTTCTAGATTGTCTCATAGTTGCAATATGAACACATTTACTTAGAAGGGGAATTTGGAGTGGAAAATATATAATTTCACCTGATCAGGACAGCTGCATGTGGTGTGCATAAAATTTGAAGAACAGATGATACACTTGTCCTCAAATACAGTTAGAGTAAAACAAAATCTATGTGCTAATTAAAACGTAGGGTGACCTATAAGAAACATGACTTTACAAATTACCAACTACACAAAAATATATTATCTTAAGGTTTTCTTAAAGGTGCACGAGTCCCCTATGACTCACTGAACTTTCACAATTTTCCCTAGCCCAGGGGTAGGCAACCTTGGCTCTTTTATGACTCGTGGACTTCAACTCCCAGAATTCCTGAGCCAGCTGTCCTAGCCCCTGTCCTAGCCCCTGTTTTCATCAAATGTGGACCCCATCACCATGTATGATTCAAACTAAATGGCAATGGCAATTTGCTCCAAGCTCCTCCCATACAAGATTCATAAACTTTACTTGGCCTATACAAGCAGGGATTCACCTGACTTCTCATGGATATAATATAATTATATTTATGTAATTTACATATTTATAATAATGCAATAATTGCCATTATATTTTTTGTATATAAGAATTTGAGTTTATTAGACCTTCTAGAACATAGATAGACTCCAAATCTGTTTCATGTGAGATTTTCCTTTAGTGTCCCTTTTTGTGAATGCTTTGCGTGCTTTTTGCTCTCTTACAGTATCAAACTTCACTATTTAAAGCTTATGGTGTTTATCTGTTTTTTCCTGAATGTTTTAAATCTTTATGCCTGTTTTAGGAGCTTAAAAGAAAGCAGAGGCTTACAGTCAGTGGTGGGATTCAGCCAGTTCGCACCACTTCGGTAGAACTGGTACCTAATTTTTTGTTGCCCAGGCCCAGAATGGACTTCCGGAAGCGGCATTCACACAGAGAACCGGTTGTTCACATATTTGAATCCCACCACTGCTTACAGTCATTTTTTTTTGAAGATCATTAGATTTAGAAACAATGCTGTGGAAGATCCAGCAGTTATGCTACATTTCTACAACAGTTAATGATCTCAAGATTGCTTCCTCAGTTTTTGTTTTATTATTTTATTATTGCACATTAAAAGCTACTTGTAATTCAGAATTACACACAGAGCTACCCCAGAAAAATATAAATAAGGTATTGCAGCACTATATCGCTCATATTTTATGTCCTTTAAACAAGTAAAATATTACCTTGAAGTTTATAGATGTTTTATTTGGCTGCTATCATCTATATTTATTATAAAGAATATATATTGCAAAAAAACAAATAAAATAATAATCATAATAAATGTAACACACCAAACATAACTGTGCTTGAAAAGGAGAAAGTATGGATAATTGATGTGGCAATACCAGGGAATGGTAGAATAGAAAACAAAAAAATGGAGAAGATCACAAAGTATCACAAAGATCCCAAAGTATTAAAAATGAAATTGAAAAAGTATGGGCTAAGCCTGCCTAGGTGGTTCCAGTGGTTATCAGCACATTGGGTGTGTGCTGATAATTTTGGACAGCAGAAAATTTTGGACAGCACTTAGAATATCTGCACATTGACACAATTTTCATTTGTCAATTGCAAAAGGCCACACTGCTTGGGTTCACACATATGCTATGCAGATACATTATGATGTCCTAGGTTCTTGGAAGAATTTGATGCTTATGAAGGCCAAATCCAGCTAAAGAATTGGCAGCTATGACTTCACATTGTTGTGAACAGAAAATAAAAATAAAATTTCCATCTGTTTTATAAAAGGCTACACTACTTGGAACTGCACATTTATTATGCCAATACGTTGCACTTCCTAGGTTCCTGGGAAGAACTCGATATGTATGAAGGCCAATACCAGCTAAAGAATTGGCAGCTGTGATTTCACATTATTGTGTATACAATAATAAAATAAAGCCCATCAGGCCATTTAGAACATCTGTTCAAATGTTTTGTAGGGGACAACTGTCTATTGGCTTCATGGGATCCAGATATAATTTTGAGATGGATTCAAGAAGATACTACCATGCATATTAATTAACTAATATAATCAGTTTATTGCATCATTTAATTGAAATAAGTCAGCATAAAATAGGTTAGAAGAAATCATAATCTTCCAGCATGTTCCAGTGGAATGTACATAACACTGATAGAGTCAAGATATTCTATAGTTTTTGAGTACCTCCAAAGAAATTTTTCTGAATAAATCAATGTCAATTTTAAATACTCTGAATCCTCGACAGAATGCCTTTTCCTTTTGTTAAACAATGAGTTGGATTCAAAGCTGCACATGCAAAAATCTACTTGCACATGGAATCTTCTTGCTGTGGATGTAATTGTAGAACTATGTGGAGCATCTGGAGTAGCAGACAGGATGCATAGTTCTGTGACCCAAATTGGGGTAAACTTGCTACTGCTGAAATAGGAGAAATGTAAAACTATATGGGTACCAAATATGAAATGGTGGAACAAATCTTATTTAAATAAAGGACTTGTATTTTCTAAAATTTCTGGTTATATGTTAATTGATGCAAATGCCACTTCTAGTAAAACATTCCAAAGCCCTTCAAATGTAGAAGCTTCTAAGCGATTTGGACTGAGTTTAAATGCAAAGACACTATATACTTTCAGGGCCCAGTTAGCATAAGAAAAGTTAGTGTAATTTCCTATTCCTGGTTTGGCATCCTAATATCTAGAAAGGCTCTTTAGAAGATGCAGGTCTTGCAAGTGTGCTACACAGAGGAGAGAAACTTACATGGTGCAACACTTCATTTTGGATTCTAAGAAAGCATTGAAGCCCGTAGAGCAGGGGTAGTCAACCTTGGCTCTTTTATGACTCGTGGACTTCAACTCCCAGAATTCCTGAGCCAGCATAGCTGGCTCAGGAATTCTGGGAGTTGAAGTCCACGAGTCATAAAAGAGCCAAGGTTGACTACCCCTGCCGTAGAGCCTATAGAATGACTTTTTGGAAAAGCATTTCCTTTTCTTAAAGGAAGACGTAGAGACCTAATGAAAATGTTTTTTCACCAAAATGGCTTTATTCACTCCAATTCTGGGAAATGGCAAGGAAGAAATCATTTCTTCCAGCCCAGTGAAATAAAGTTGAAGGGGTTTTGTATTCAATTTCTCAGATTTAATCTTTGATTTTCAAGCTTAGCCAAAAGCTATGGAATTCCCAGAGGATCCAGTAACCTAATACTATCTAGAGCTATCCGTAATGAGCGTCTGAGATCAGCCACTGTTGGGCAGTTTTTGAAATAAAGGTCGGACAAACCCAAAGATATAGCTATACGAAATTTAGAAAAAGTTGAAACTGCTATATTTTTATCAGTTGTTTCAGTATATACAGTGGTTTTTTTTAAAAAAAAATGCAAATGAATCTCAAATATAGTGTCAGTAGTTTTGGTTTTCATTTTACTCTTAATCTTTTCTTTTCTTATATCATTGTCTCAGAAATCTTGAACCCTCCCTGTTATTCCTCATGGCTTTTCTTGATTTTGTAGTTATGTATTGTCCAGAGAATTTGATCTCTCTAGCAAAATCAGTGCAGCTTCCCTGCCAAACTTGTATGACCAAGCCTTGTTCATGAGAGTTTTTAAATGGGTAGAGGGTGGGATTAGCCCCTCACCCAATATTTCATCTGGAGCACTGCAAAGGAATCCCTGCCGTGTTTGTTAATAATTCTGGAAACTGGATGGGGCAGAAAACTATACAAGTAGTCCTCAAGTTACGATCACAATTGAGCCCCAAATATATGCTGTTAAGTGAGAAATTTATTAAGTGAGTTTTGTCCCATTTTATGACTTTTCTCGCCACATTTATTAAGTGACTGCAGTTCTTAAATTAGTAACTTGGTTGTTAAAATGAATCTGGTTTCGCCATTGACTTTGCTTGTCAGAAAGTCGCAAAAGGGGATCATATGACTCTGGGACTCTGGCAACCATCATAAACGTGAGTCAGTTGTCAAGCATCCGAATGGAAATCATGTGATCATGGAGATGCTGCAATGATCATAAGTGTGATAAATGGTCATAAGTCACTTTTTGCAGTGCTATTGTAACTTTGAACAGTTACTAAATGAACTGTTGCAAGTTGAGGACTACCTATACCAGTGATGGCGAACCTTTTAGAGACCGAGTGACCAAACTGCAACCCAAAACCCACTTATGCATCGTCGGGTGCTGGCTGGGTGTGGCCCATTGGGTGGGCGTGGCTGTGGTGGTAACGGCAGACTGGATAGGACTAAAAAGTTCAATCAATCAATTCCAACTTTGCAAGTTCTTTTTTTTCCCGCGAGAAGTTGAAATTGACTGATTGAACCTTTTTTTTTTTTGTACACGGCGGCGGAGGCCTAAAGCGAAAAGGTTTTATAAAACCCAGCTGAAGGCCTAGGACTGGGGCAACAGCACATGTACCCACAGAGAGGGCTCTGAGTGCCGCCTCTGGCACCCGTGCCATAGGTTCGCCAGCACTGATCTATACTCTCATTCATACAGCTCTCTCTCAGACCTCCTGGCTGAATGTATGGACATTTTTTTTGCAACAATGGAGCACTCATATTTTCAGGCCAATGTCTGAAGAGGACTGAGGTTAGTCACATATTCACCAATTGTTCTGCCCAACATAAGAGAACAGACAATCTTCTCCTTTTCTGCCTGTTACAATGGGTACCAGCATCCTTAATTTCACAGCAGCTGAAAACAGGATATCTATTTTTCTGCACTGTACACGCGGGTAGGGAAAGATTCCACACCCAAGTTGAAGGAATTTTAAAATATTTCCATTCATCTTTTAAGTTGGCTCCATGTTAGAAAGTAATGAAATAAGTGTGGTATAATGGTGGCTTTCATTTGGTTTGGATCTATTCCATTCTTGTTTTATCTTATTTGAAGAGACTGTGGCTTTTTATATCAGATGTGGTAGTGAAACAGATGTCTTTAAAAGGTTATAAACTTTAGCTGTCTCAATGCACAATAAAAGTATAGTTAGACCCAGATTTCTTGGCAGTTTTTGTCCATTTTCTTATATTTATTTTACTTTATGTTCTTTTATTGCTGTGCATTACAGCCTATATTTCTATTCATAGTACATTCAGAGTGGCTGTTTAGTGGCTTAGGCAAGTGAAAATTTTGACAATAATGTATATATTTTTATTCAGCTACATAATTATTACTGAACTTATCCCAGTGCTATTTAGAAGAAAAAGGGCTTCAGTTCCTTGTGCCAACTTAATTTTTTAGATTTATTGCTCTTGTATCACAAGTTATATGTCTGCTTTTCATATAAATAATTTGTGTAATAATTGCATACCAACACTTTCTTTACAAAAAATAGGACACAAAAATAGCTTCCCTGGAACGCAATATCAGAGATCTCGAAGATGAAATACAGATGTTGAAGACAAATGGAATTCTGAACACGGAAGATCGAGAAGAAGAGATCAAACAAATAGAAGTTTACAAGAGTCATTCCAAGTTCATGAAAAATAAGGTATGTGCAGCTAAGAAAATAAGACTTATTAAGATTCTGATTTTTGAAGGAGATTGATGTCAACAAAAGATCTGAAGAGGAGTATCTAGTATTAAAGAAAACTTTCCTGGTAAACAAGGTAGATTTTTTTCCCCATTTGTAATTCACTTGGTGAGAGAAGTTTCTACATATATCTTAGGTACAGAGGCAACCTTTGTTAGAGCCATGTCAAGCCAGTGTGAAAAATGTGCCTTATTTTGAGGGCATTCCCTGAAGGAAACCATATTAAATTGCCACAGAACAAGTACTTTTGTCCCCTTGAATAAAAATCATGACAACAGCACTCCTGTTATCAGTTCTTGGCTATCTCTCCTTGCTGAATAATTACAACAAAGGCACCTGTGGGACTGGAAAGCATTCAGAGGTCCTTCAGGAGATTTTTCCATGTTTGTAACAAACAACCATCAATTGTTTTCAATGTTAGGAAGCAATGCCATTTATAACTCTTCAGTTAAGATATGATGCAAGTAGAATAAAATGACCATAAATGCAGACATAAAATGCTTGAGTGATGTCTCGTATGTCTGATACTCAAAACTCTTATGATTGTTGTTAAGCATCCAGATTTATACTCTGTAAGACAGGTGTCCATATAAATGTTTTAAACAAATCAAGAAACAAGCAAATCTATGCTTCCTTGATTGTAGGAATTACTATGTATATGGTTCACAATGTATCATTTCATTCTGAGGGTTATATATTAATTGGAATTTTTTAACATAAAGAGGAAAATTGTAATGATTTTGTGAATAAGAGACTCAATGCAATAAATTCTCCCACTGTTACAGAGAAAATCAGAGCAAAATGTTTGTTGGTTGTTGGTCACAGCCATCTGATCAGTGCTTGGATAATTGTGCCTCATTCTGATGAAAGCCTGCCTAACCTCTGTCAGCAGCCCTGTCCTTCTTCTGACAATTGAGATTTGTAGCAAAAGATCCTACTTCTGCCATTCATCACAGGACCTTTCAAGGTGGAAACAATATTTATAATGCTGTCAGCAAGGAGATCTCATTATACCCCATCTGTCCAACCTGAGATCACTGATAAAGAAACCCTGATAAATATAAGTTCTGACTGATAGCAAACAGTAGAACAAAGGTCCTTTCATGGTCAACAACTTAAGGTGTTATAATACTCTTCAAGAGGAAAAAGCTTGGATTTAAGAAATAACTATTTAAGTTCTTTCCCATTTAAATGGAAGAGGAGCATATGTTGCTAAAGGTAATCTATTGTGGAACATTGCTAACGTCCCTGGAAAACTAGGCTACAACAAAGTTTGGGGGGGGGGTTTACAGAAATCAAAGACATTAACAACAAACACGGTCTTCCAGATCCCCAAATATCTAGATGAAATGGAAAAATAGGAGCAGGTAATTTGGTGGTTCCATCTTGCATGACTGCTTTTGGCTCTGATGGCAAATAATATTTTCAGAGTGTAGGATAGCATGCTAATGTCTCCAAGACAAAAAGATGTTGGAATTAGCAAAACACACACAAGTCAAGAAGCAACTTGTAAAAAAAAAGACAATGATTGGGTTAGGAGGAGAAAGCTACAACACCCTTTGATTGCCAATTAACTGATTTGATTGCCAATAAACTAATTGCCAATTAATTGATTGACATAACAAAAACTACTTAATTTTACAATATATGGGCATACTTAACCGTACTTTCAACTGGGAAACTGAGCATCAAACTGAGATCAAGCTAAGTCCAAAAACACTCAAGAATTCCTGGAAGCCTGACACTCAGACAAATCAGCCATCAAAGGCACATGTAGATAAACACCATCTATATAACATTAAAAAGAAACAATAAAAAACTAAAAAGGGACCAGAAGATCAGAAGATCAGATTGCTCACCAGCAATCAACACCCAGATTAAACAGATTAACATTAAGTTTAACATTAGACCAGGAGTCTTCGAACTTGGCCCTTTTATGATTTGTGGACTTCAATTCCCAGAATTCCTCAACCAGGCAAGCTGGCTGAGGAATTCTGAGAGTTGAAGTCCACAAGTCATAAAAGGGCCAAGTTTGAAGGCCTCTGCATTAGACCAACAATCAAGCTGTAAACAATAACCCAATCAAGGAACTACCAGCTCAGACAAACAATCAAACAATAAACAACAGTCTAATCAAGGAATTACCAAGACCTCTCCCACCAGCACTGACAGGGCAAGCCACTAGTATACAAACAGAGAGCAGGTCTACTCCCTTCTAGCACTAATGATATTACCTCATTGGACAAAGAAATTTCTGCAAGAAAGCAACCAAGCTCAGAAGAGCATGGAGGTCCCCACAATGAATTTTTAAATAAATCTAGTTCTGTAGCACTTAGAATTTTTAAAAGACTTATCTGGTCTGGTTCCACTATTTGAGGTGGAATAGATCTTGGGGCAGAAAGGTTTTATATGGGAACTACTAGGTTGCTTCTGATGAAAAATGTTTTTTAAAATTGCCCTTTTGGAATGAATGCAGAAAATATTATTCTTTCTTGCTATGACATGCTGACACCATCATGTTCAAGATCAATTTATATGAGACTCCTCTGGAATGAGATTGTGCTATGAGATTCCAGCATTGTAGAAAGAGGAAGGCAGGGTTGTTTTAGTTGATTTTGTTTAGACTGCCAAAGCTGTTGTTTATGAAAGGAACATCTTAACATATTTTATGTTAGAATTTATATTACTATATCATGCAATTTGTTTTTGCATTCTGTTTGTATCATGTTTAATCCTAAGTATTTGTTGCAGAGTTGCACACCTCTCAGAAACAGCTGATTAGATTGGCCTGCAAATAATAAACAAATAAATATGCAGATAAGCAATAAAGAACGGAAGGAAGTAGAAAAAATAAATGGAAAACATATCCCAGAGAATTTTCATGGCATTTTTTTACATCCCCAAATCTACCATTTGCTCTCCCTTTAGAGACATTACAAGAAACATTATTTGTTAAAAATAATTTTACCATCTTGTATGAAGCAGGAAAGATTGATCAGAGTAGATCTGAAATGCTTTATTTTGTGAATGGCAAAACTCTTTGCCAGCTTGCAAATCATGTGGAGAATAAAAAGAAATGTATAGCATACCTGAAATGAAAATGATTCCATATTCTTTGAACAATTGGCTATCAGAGTTTGGTGAGTTGAATCATCAATAAAAATAGGAAGATCCTTTGATAGAGATTAGGTTGTGCGATACCATCTGGGACTAATATAAACCACATGCTGCAGTATGTATTGGTGTCAACTTTCCTTCCATTTGTATTGTGTAATATTACTCTCACCTTATTTTTTATTCCAATTTTGTCTGTTTGTCTGTAGTGACACATAAAGGGTTGTCAGTTTTGTCGTCAATGCATTGGTGATATTACTCATTTTCACTTCTCCAAACAAATCATTTCTAAAATGTTGTGCATTTGAATATTATGGTTCAATTATATCCTTTAATAATTTATTTTGTGAATGTTTCTTTTTCATTGTTATGCTTTCTCTTTGATCCCAATTAGTTGTTCCTTTCTTCTGTGGTCTTTCAGGGCAGAATCTGCCTTCAATTAGTTTGAACTTCTCTGAGTACGGGAAGTGCACTGAGACTTCATTCCTAATCATGTATAATCTTTATAAATTATTATATAATTTTTTTTAAAAAAATCAAGCAGCATAATGGTTCTGATGTAGATATATGAGTTTGATTTTTGCTATAGATGTTTCACATGTGCAAGTATATATAATATACCTTTTGGATTTAATTCTGAAAGAATTCATTTCGTATTGTGAACTAAAAAAAACAGTATGGAATTTACAAGAAACATCTCCTTCTAATGTGACTTGGTGGAATTAAAGCTGATAAATATTGTACTTTACTAATTTGGAACATGTGGTCTGAGCACTATAAATCTGTGATTAAATTCCAGATTTTGTTGGCCACCATTCTAAACCCTTTTCCATTCTCAAAATGTAGTGTAGAATGAACGAAATCCACAACTAGAGAAAGATGGCTTCAAACATTTCCTTTCTGCTGTTCCAAAACGGTTCCATACCCATTTGCACTATTTAGGTGACCCTCCTCAATGACTCTCAGAAAGAGGGCTAATGACCAGATGACTGCAAGGAATATAAATCCTTCCATTCCCCACCATTCAGTAAGAACTGAAGAAACCTCTTGGATGAGAAGCAAAATGTCTTCTAGGAAAAACAAAGGAGCCTCTTGAAAAAGCATCTTTGAGGCAACCATGACCTGGATGACTGAGAATCTCTGTAGACACATGGCTTCAAACACATTCAAAGATTCTTTGCTGTTTGGGTTAAATATTTTATTGCATATGATTTTTGAGGAAACCTTAACAAAAAACTTGGAGTCTTAAGTTTATTATGACTGTGACAATGCAAATCTATATAGGTATTGAGCAGAGTTTTCCTTCATAATTATCTATTCTTTGATATTCATGAATAAAATCAATTCACCAGTGTTAAGATCATATAAAGTTCCCTTACAGTACTGATACTGATAATATTTTTTTTTCATTCCCTATTGGAATGAAATTTTCTGGGAGCTAACTGGAGATGCCAAGTTCAGGCAATCTTCTTCCTGAGCCCTTCCTCAGACTCATGTGCATTAACTACTGCATATTAGTATTATATGTTTATGTATGTATATTACTTACTGTACATGTAATGTGGTCATTCAGCTAATTTTCATGTTCTTTTCATGGTTTTCAAGAGGATAAATAAAAACTGTAAACAGTAGGAAAACCACAAATTTACACAGATATTCCAAACACATTTGAAGTTTTATATTTAAAGCACAATCATACTGTACATACAGGCCATTATTAAAAAAAGTCAATGTTTGAGTACTGAGAGGCAGTATTGGTAATACTGTGAGAATCATATGAATCATATACCTGCTAAATTGTCACAGGAGCTGCTTGGGCTTACACTGATTCCATAATACTGGTTCAACTGAATATTAAAACAGTGTCCTAATAATAAAAGCAGTTTGATAGAGGAATGAATTGCTGAGACCAGGTGAGATTGCTGGAAATGTTCAAGTGGAGGCTAGACAGCCGTCTGTCTGAGATTATTTTAATTTGGATTCCTGCACTAAGCAGAATGTTGGACTTGGTAGACTAAATAATTGATTAGGTTATTATAATGTTCTAATACTTAATAGCTTGTTCCATGTAATGGCCAGTTATTGGGAGGAGGGCAACAGTATTTTGATTGGCTTCCATTGACTCAGTTGTGGAACTTCTGTACCCAGAAATACCTATAGATTTAGGGCTTTTTTTCTCATAGAATTCCCAGAACGGAGTTCTGGCACCTTTTTTGGATGGAATCTTGTAGGGTAGGCAAGGCTGGTTGTATGATGTGTGTGAGTTCCGGCACCTTTTTTTTTTTTTTTTTTTTAAGAAAAAAAGCATTGGATTTAGGACAGAAAAAGCAACATAGCTGTAGTTTTTCCAAGATTATTATTTTGGAATATTTTACTTTCATTTTGTATGTTTACCTCCAATTTGTTTAAATCATGAACAGTAGTCCCAAAGTTGATCAAATTAAATATAAGTTGTCCATCTGATATATAAGTTTGTCAACTTCTCCACTGCCCCTAAGGAAATACAGTGTTTGTTAACATTAATTGTTCTCCCTTTCATTTTTTGCAGATTGACCAATTGAAGCAGGAGCTTTCAAAGAAAGAATCAGAACTTCTTGCCTTACAAACTAAGCTTGAAACCCTTAGCAATCAGAATTCAGATTGCAAGCAACATATAGAAGTGCTTAAAGAGTCGCTTACTGCCAAAGAACAGAGAGCTGCCATACTTCAGACAGAGGTAAAGTATTTCTTAGCATCCAATAAGTATTCAGTATAACTGTTTAATTAATGGAGTGTGTTTGAATTAAAGATGACATTCAGGTTACAAATCTGTGCAAAAGACAAAACCTAACTTTTAAAAAAATGGCTCCAAATTAGTAAAATAGTTTGATGCCAAGACCAGCTTTTTAATACTTGCAAATTTTCTACTAACCTTGCTAGCAGATGGGGTTTTTTTTGTTGAAATTAGAAGATTTCAGCAGGAAACCCACAATAAGTATATGTATCTACAATTTAATTTATCCTTGCTGCTAATATATAATTACTTTCATTTATCTTTTTTATAAGAATGCTTCAGTTAAACCTATGGAATTGGCAGAAGGATATATAGATTAATAAGAAGAATTTAGTAACTGTAAGAAAAAAAATGTTCAAAAGAAGAGCCAAATGATTAATTAATGGGGAAAGATTCTTCTGACTTTTAAAAAGGTTAATATTTCTAATGGGTGACCTCTGAATTTGCTCAAAGCTGTTATTGCAAAGAAAGCATTGTTCCATTGCTGACATCTTCCACCTTTTAAAAGGGAAATTGCATAAGGTAGGCTTAACATTTTCCCCTTATTTTGGGAAAAGTTGCATCAGGA